GGGAAAGGGGGAGGGGGAGGAGGGGGGAGGGTGACGATGAGGATGAGGAGAAGGGCGAGGAGCACGCGGGGGAGTAGGTGGAGGGGAGATGAGGAGGAGAAGGGGGAGAATCAGGAAGATAAGGAAGTCACCCTCAGCCAGGACGACTCGACCATGCGCACGCGCAAAATCGAGCAGCCGATCTCCGACAAGGCCATGAAGGACCCCCCCCCGACAGCCCCGACGATGAGGATGACGGCGAAGGAGGAGGGGGAATAATGAGGTGGATGGATACGTGACCAGAGGAGGAAGGATGGAGGCGGATAAGGAGGAGGTGGATAATGTGGTGGATGGAGTGGACGGGAATAAGGAGGTGGATGGATGAGGAGGAGGAGGAGGAGGAGGAGGAGGAGGAGGATAGGGAGGATGGGGAGGAATGTCGAGAGAGGTATGCGGGAAGTGAGGCCAGGGACGATAAGGAGGACAAGGAGGAAATAGGGGCACACGTCGCCAGCGTCATCGTGGCACACCTCATCAGCGTCATCATCACTATACTTCCACCCTTCAACCTCCCATAAGTCAACCTCCCAACCTCTCTGTATCCCATAACTCAACATCCCAACCTCCCATCCTCGCATCATTGTCGCCCCAACCTCCCATCCTCGCAACATTGTCGTCCCAACCTCCAGTCCTCGCATCATTGTCGTCCCAACCTCCCATCCTCACATCAGTGTCGCTCCAGCCTCCCAACCTCCCAACCTCCCAACATCAACATCATATGCATCATCAGCCCATTTTGGCTCCACGCGTCATCGCCGTAGCGGCGACTGGGCACTCGCTATGCCAGATTTGGAGCTACGCGAACACATCGCGGCCAAGTTTTTCCTCCCAGACCGATGGCGGCGCCTTCAGCGAGCTCAATATGCGCTCTTGCTGTACCTCGTTGGTTCGACCGTGGAAGCGGACCCTCATTTTGTGCCGACGGATGATGAGCGCGATCTCGTCTTCTTGGAGGTCTTGAGTGGCTCAGGGCGGATCGCCGACGCGTGCTGTTCGCTTGGGCCGTCCACGAACTACGACGCCTCATACGGGCCCGAGTTCGATTTGCTCAAGCACAGTGGCTATGGGCGGATCATGCACCTGGCCATGCGGATGAAAGTTGGCGCGGCGGCGTGGATGGCCCCATTATACCACACGCGGGTTGGGAAGGCCAGTGCTGCGCGCACGGCCGATATTCCTCAGGGTGATTTCCGTGACTTGGCGTAGCAAGAGGCCAACAAAGTGGCCAATCGCCTCGCCGCCATCAGCGTGATCTTGTGGCTGCGTGGGGTCCATCAATGCTGGATCCACCCCCCCACGTCGTACATCTGGCAGTATGCGCCAGTCATCCGACTGTCGTCTCTCGCGAGCACGTTCGCGACCAAGACTTACCTCGCCCGCTGGGGCACCAAACACTTGAAGGAGGTGCTCATTCGCCACAGCACCCCCGAGCTCCACGACCTTGAGCGCAGCAAGCCGAAGCCCATTGGACCTGCAGCCCACGACTCTTCGGATGATCGCCCCTTGGAGCTCGACAACGGCACGTGCCCGTTTGCGTTCGCCCAGTCGGTGAAGTGCATAATTGCGAAGGTCATCAACGCCCCCCCGCAGAAGAACTTGCATGATTACATGACCCCGACCAAGCGCGGCTTGGCAAATACATTGACCATCTTCACCGCGTTCTCCCCCTCTGCCCCACGCCCTCCTTCCTCCTGCCTCAGCGGGGCGGAGGACGGGAGGGGGAGGAGGAGGGGGGAGAGGAGGAGGAGGAGGAGGAGGAGGAGGAGGAGGGGGAGGAGGAGAAGGAGGGAGAGGAGGAGGAGGAGGAGGAGGAGGAGGAAGACGATGATGGCATGAACGGTGTAAACGGATGGGGGAGGGGGAGAACACGGAAAGATGGCAGTGTGTTTTGCCAAGTCGATCTAGGCATCACGGCCATGCGAGTTCAGCTTCCTCCGAGTTTCTCGGGGACGATTTCGGCACGATCGAGCACCTCAGCGAGTCGTCGGGGGCAGAGGTTGATTTTATTGATTTATATTGGAACCCTCACCCCCCCAACCTCCCCAACCTCGCACTCCCCCTACCGAACCCCTCCTCCCCTTACCGCCCTCCCCCAACCTCCCGAGCCACCCTCCCCTTACCACCCCTCCCCAACCACCCTCCCCTTACCACGCCTCCCCAACCTCCCTCTCATATCCACCCCTCCCATCCGTCCTCCATATATATAGTATATAATATATATAATATATATAATATATCCTCTCCCAGGGGTCATGCCAGAGCAAAGCGCAAGGCGCCTCCGCGCGAAGACGCCCCCCCCCTCAATCGGAGATCGGGGGCGGCACCGCAAACGTCCGAACATCCCCCCCCGTTGTGAAATTGAAAATACTTAGCAACAACTACGATGACTACAGTCGGTGCGCCAAGTGAGGGTGAACGTCGTTCTGTTGAACCCCTGCATCCTAGCTTGTTCGGTCAAGTTTTACAAAATCTACGGGGTGCATCGACTATTCGAGCACCCAAGGGTCATGAATCCTTACTACGCTCATCCATGCAATTCGAAGTGGCTGCGCATCTTAGTTTACTCCCTCAGGGACCCAAACCCTCTGCGACGGGGCTGATGTGGGCCAACTATGGGCCAGCCGTGCGCATTAGAATGCAGGAGCTCACATGGTTGGCAATACGTGTGCCCCGACGCTCCCCCTTCTCATTTTTTACCACCCCGTGCCGTAGTTTGCTGTATCAGATCCGCTACAGGAGCTTGGACTCACCCCATCGGTGTTCGACGATCGCTCTGCCAGCATGGCAGCATGCAGCGGCGGCAAAAGGCTCGGCAGACGGCATCGTTCCACCTGCAGGCGGCGACGGCTCGGAGGACGGCACCGTTCCACGTGCAGGCGGCGACGGCTCGGAGGACGGCACCGTTCCACTTGCAGGCGACGACGGCTCGGCAGACGGCGCGGAGGACGGCTGCGTTCCACGCGCAGGCGGCGACGGCTCGGCAGACGGCACCGTTCCACCTGCAGGCGGCGGCGACGGCTCGGCAGACGGCATCGCTCCACCAGATGCAGGCGACGGCTCGGCCGACGGCACCGTTCCACCAGATGCAGGCGACGGCTCGGCAAGCGGCATCGTTCCACCAGGTGCACGCGACGGCTCGGCAAGCGGCATCGTTCCACCAGACGCCATCGGCGGCTCGGCGGACGACATCGGCGTGGCAGACGGCGGCTCGGCGGACGACATTCCTGATCTGAGTGACGATGAGTTGAGGTCGATTTCAGCGTGGCTGAAGCTGCAGGGAGGCGGAGGATGAAGAAGAGGATGAGGATGAGGAGGAGGAGGAGGAGGAGGAGGAAGTGGAGAAGGAGGAGGAGGCGGACGTGGAGGAGGAGGAGGATTGGGAGGAGAAGGTCAATCTTGGCATGGCTGAAGCAGCTCGTTTTGCCCCAAGCGCCCAATACGGTGCTGGGAAGTTCGTATCTAGTGAAAAGTTGATAAGGACGATAAACTGCAGAAATACACAGGTTCGGAAATTCGAAAAGTATATGGTGTTCGGCGGTGCCCTTGCCCCAGGTGCACGATGCGCTGCTACCATAAAGGGCCCTGCACCGACACCAGAATACAGTTCGAGCTTCTGGAACTGATGTATATGTAGTTTGTCGTTCTTCGGTTCTAGATTTGAGGGGTAGTCCAAGACTCTGGTACTACAGCTGGTTGTCGCCTGCTATCGCAAGGTATATACATTGCGAGCCAGGCGTTGGTCGATGGAGCTTGATACTGAATCGAACGATTCATCGCGAGTGTCACCGACGCTGCATCCACCAACCTCACCATCACTGAAGGGCTAATGCAGAGGAGTATGATGGGTAAGGAAGGAGGCGCCATCATATGGCAGGTAGTTAGAAACATACATGTGCTCATGCATGTGGAGTAAGTAGAAACAAGTATGTAGGGGGAGGGAGGAGTAGAGGAGGATATCCTGAACCCATGGCTCTCGACCCCATCTCGGATCTCCTGGCCCCAGAGCTCTCGACCCCATCTCGGATCTCCTGGCCCCAGAGCTCTCGACCTCATCTCGGATCTCCTGGCCCCAGAGCTCTCGACCCCAGCTCAGAGCTCTGGGCTCTAGAATTCTGCCCCGCGTCGGCCGTACGTAAGACACGACTCGCGGGTTGTTGGTTGACCTGCCTCCTCCGACCCTTCCAACGTCCACACGCGTGCCCACGCCAACTTGCGTCCCATGTGTCCTCTCCACCCCAGCCCCTCCTTCCCCACCCCTTTCCATTCCTCCTCGTTTCCCTCCTCCTATCATCTCATTCACCCTTCACGTCGCGTCCCCGCCTCCACCGCTAGCTCATCCAACCCATCCTCGACTTCACACTCCACGTTTGCTTATCCAGCGCATGCGTGCGCTTCGTCGTTGTTGCAATCTCGACCCCTCCCCCGCGCCAGGATCTCGCCCAGTGGTTGATGAAGGAGTCTGCACGACCCGCGAGCTCGCCGTGCAAGGGCGAGGAGGCGCGGCGGCTCCTTGGCGTGGCCAAGGGCGAGGCCCTTGGCGTGGCCAAGGGCGAGGAGGCGCGGCTCCTTGGCGTGGCCATGAACTCGAGCACCGCGCCTCCGAAGAAGCGGGAGATCAAGGACACCCCGCTTCTTTTTTGTTTCAGCCGCGTCGATTGTCTTCCGAATCGTCGACCATCGGAGGCATTGGAGGTCTGACGATCGACCCACTTGACGACGTCTGTTTTTTCAGTAAGCACCGTCTGGGTCCCTCGTGTCATACAGCTATTCGCTACCGCTTTTGTCGATCGGCCGTTTCGTTCCAGGCCACTGTGGAGACATCGCATGTCGCTATCCCAGGGTGTTGCCACAACAACGTGAGGTTGAGGGCGGAGGTATGACATTCCCAATTTGATGTGACGCGCAAACATCTACAAGAGATCATCAAGGCCAGGAAGAAAAACCGCCGCGTCGCCTAGGAGGAGAAGAAGCGCGAGATTGCCGAGCACAACAAGAACAAGCGCGAGCACGCCGAGCACAACAAGAAGAAGCGCGAGCACGCCTCCAAGGACGAAGAGAATCGCAGGCTGGCCCACCCGACGCTCGGGATCTTGCACGCGACATTCGGCAGCAAGGCCACGTACTACTGCTACACCAACCTCGAGACCAACAAGAAGGTCCTGCTGGTGGAGGTCAGCTCGAAGTTGACCGAGAGGCACGCCGAGGCGTGCGTGGAGTTGTGCAAGCAGAGCTGCAAGCGCAACCTGGACAAGCAGGAGACGGTTGCGTTGAGGTCTAAGGTGCTCGAGAAATTCTGAAAGCGAGCTGCTGGTATCACAGCAGAGCGTCTCGCGGGGGGCATGGTGTTTACAACTCTTGTGCGGAGGGGCCGCACGCCGCCATCGGCTGTGAAAGCCAATTCCTCCTCCTCCTCCTCCACCTCCTCCCCCTCCTCCTCGTCCTCCTCCCACGTCTTTCTGCTATTCCCTCCTTCCACACCGCCTCCGCCTGGCCCCTCCGCCTCGCCTTCCGGCCCCGACCCCCCGACCCCTCTCCGACAACGCCCACCCCCCTCAGGCTAGGTCACCCCTGCATGTCGCAGCGCCCCCCCCCCACACCACTTTGCACCTCCAAGAAGCGGTGGTCGGGCCGTAGAGCAACGGGATGAGGGGGGCAACGATTGGGCGGGGTACGATGGGATGGAGGTTGGGGCGGCTGAGATCATGAGGATGTGAATGAGGATGGGAGGATGAGGATGGGATAAGGAAGGATGATGGGAGGAGGATGGGAGGAGGAGGATGGGAGGATTGGCAAATAAGGTAGGCGGTGATGCTCGACACACCTTTCGTTGTCTGCTTGTGAGAGAGAATTGCGCGCAGGAGCCCTGCGCTCTCTGAGTGTCATCCCGCACCTTTCCTGGATCGCGCTCCGACCAGGATTTCGGGGCGGAGTGGCCACGGCGGTGAGGCCCCCCCACCTCGGATCTCCTGGCCCCAGAGCTCTCGACCCCATCTCGGATCTCCTGGCCCCAGAGCTCTCGACCCCATCTCGGATCTCCTGGCCCCAGAGCTCTCGACTTCATCTCGGATATCCTGGCCCCAGAGCTCTCGACCCTATCTCGGATCGCATGGCCCCAGAACTCTCGACCCCATCTCAGAGCTCTGGGCTCTAGAATTCTGTCCCGCGTCGACCGTGCGCAAGGTGCGAATCGCGGGTGTGTGTTTGATCGTCTGGGCAGCCTGGAGTTGAAATACACAGGCGAAGCTTGATATTGACATAGGTTGTATTGAAGTACCCACCCGAGCTCGCGGGAGCCGCCTCGTATCCCCGTGGCCCCATCGTCGTTATCATGCCTCGTTCATGTGGTGGGCGGCCTCCCTATCCCAGACATCGTCCCCCGATCGGGCGGCGAACGTACACAAACAGCAACACAATATCACCCAATAATATAATTTAGAGTTGTGTAAAACATGCAAATGCACATTACAATTATTGGATTCAGACACACACAGAACATATATAATCGCGTAATGAATGAATTAAATAACTAAATGTTTACACACGTTTGCAAACGTTTGCAAACGTTTGCAAACGTTTGTAAAGTATGACAAACGTTTGTCAATTTTCGACAAACGTTTGTCATTTTGACAAACGTTTGTCAAAATTTGACAAACGTTTGTCACGAGCTACAAACGTTTGCAAACGTTTGCAAACGTTTGCAACCGTGTGAAAACGAACTGTTATCAATGTGTGCATTATGTGTGATTAATAATGTTCAATTGACTGCAAAATTCATTTTATTGTGCAAAATATGTCATCGGTTAGTGTTGTGTCATTACTTGTTTTTTACGAATGCAGTCCACTGATGTGTTTTATATTACACACGGTTTGCCTGATTGTACACCATATTCTTAAGCATTCGCATATACAATGAACCTGAATCAACACATTATAAGTAACACATACACCAAAATGAATGACCATATCTGATTATGTGTCACATTATGTACTTTTACATGTGTAAACGTGTCATATCGGTCGAATGTGAACAGTCAGATACTCGTGTGTACTATCCTGGAATTGCTGCCTATCGCCGATGCCAGTCTCGAGCTCGAGATTTCTGGGGCGGTCCAGTTCTCGGGTCCCAACGGTGCTGCCCCTCCTGCGCGCCATGGCGCCGAAGAACGGGAAGCTCGCGAAGGCTGCGATCGACGACCGATGAACACGAGTCGACGACGTGATGCGTTCCGATTTGTTTCGGTCGATCTGTAGAAGAAGAACGTTCTTCTACAGATCTCAGGCTGCTGCGAAGAAGATGCGTCGACCCGCTGCAGCTTCTGCCGAGACGCGCATCGTGCCCTACGGCGCGAAGGGGACCCGATTTGTTCCGAATGCTTCCCCAATGATAGGCGAGCGCGGTTATTCATGACATATGGCGCTCGGTCTAGCGTCCCGACTCGTGATGGTTCGCGCTCGCCGTCAGTTTACATGTCTTGTTTCAGGATCCCATGTAGGAACAAGCTGGCCTCGTTGATGCAGAAGTCGGCGGGGTTGTCGTCCGACGAGCGCAGGGAGCTGTTCAGGCCAGATAGTCGGGGAGGATGAGGAAGGGGAGGGGAAGGAGGAGGCGGATGAGGAAGAGGAGGGAGGATGCGGGAGGAGAGACTGGGAGGGAGGAGGGAGGAGGGAGGAGGGAGGAGGAATGAGGGAGGAGGAATGAGGAGGAGGGAGGAGGAAACTGATGGGGAGGAGGATGTGGAGGCGGATGATGAGGAACACAATTTTGTTTTCTCTGACTCATTTCTGCACGGCGCGAGGGCGACATCGGCGACGTGTCGCAGATGAGGGCGCTGTTCACGAGGTCGGAGATCCAGCAGCTCCACAACAAGTTCCGCAATGCCCGCCAGGAGAACGACCGCGCGCAGCAAGTGTTCGACACCATCGAGGCCAAGGGCCACAGGGTCGGCAAGAACGAGGCAAAACAGAAACTCTTGGCGAGCTGGATCAAGGACCCTGAGATGAAAAAGGGGTTATGGAAAGTGGTTCTGTCTGTGGAGACCGGGGAGAGTGCGACGCGCAAGTCGGTGTGGAAGACGAAAAAGCAGATGGACTTGAAATACACTGGGAGCGAGATCGAGGAGATGATAGAGAACGGCAGCGTACAGGCTCTCGTTTCAAGCGTGCCTCTGTCTGCGTAGTTTATTTCTGCATCGTTTTAACCACGCGGGCGTCTAGATCGTGTTCGTTTCAGGCACGAACACGATCTATACGCCCACGTGGTTAATCCCTGATCTAGAAACTCCTGATCTAGAAACTTTCTAGATCAGGAGTTGATCACGTACGATTCGGCGCGCGCCCATCGCCAGACCCTGGGATCTTTATCCAATGTCCCCAAAGGCCTCCGTTTAGTTATGCCAGTGACTACCAGTTTACTTGAAGAAGGTCGCACTGGATAACTACTTGAGCTAATGTTGCCTACCCAAAAGAGGCGTCGATCACCACTTAATTTTATCACATGCCCCAGCCCAGGTTAAGAAGAACCCGAAGTGTCCGAAGCGCAAGCTCTACCTAGACCACGACGACGAGGCCTCGAAGTCGCTGAGGAAGAAGCAGTCGCGCGCGCTCGAGGGGCACATCGAGGTCGAGGGCGAGACCTTCGCACGCCTCTCGACCGACATGCGCAAGAGCAGGATGGTCCAGGACATCCGCGAAGGACCCTTCGGTTCAAATGTTTAGTGTCATATTGTTTTTAAGATCGTACATAGGAGGGGGGCGTTTGGGGATTCGAGTAGGACGATCGAACCACTGGATGGCCGAATGCTGCCCAAGAGGATGCCCAGACAGCCCCATAAATAACGCGACAGAGTGCCAGATCGCCCCGAGACGCCCACAGCGAGTCCCACACATACGCCCAGAGAAGCCGAATACGCCTCCTCGACACACCAGCACCACAACCCAGGCAGCCCCAGGAGGGCTCCACGAGGATGCCAAAACAGCCACAGACAGTCCCCCAACGCTCTGTCGATGTATTGAAGTTGGCTCGCTCTCGTCCAGAGGAGACGCCCTGAACATGGGGATGGCCTTGTCCGACAAGGACAGCGAGGAGGAGAACGAGGACGCGGGCGAGGGCATCCCGCGGAGCGCCTCCGCGAGGGGGGGCCGCGGGAAAGGTCGCGGTCGCGGTCGCAGGTCGAGCTCCCACCAGGCCGCCCTCACTGCTGGAATCCCCCCGCCCCCCAGCTAATCGAGGGCACCGCGACCTCCCATGGCACCATTGGGCTTCCTGGGGCCAAATCACCGACATACTATTGCGTCCTTTTTCGGTACCCTTGCGTGTCGCACCTCCTGGGGGGATGGATAGTTTGTGTCACTCCTGCTCCCCCTTCTCCTCCTCCTCCCCACCCCGCCCTCCTCTTCCTCGTCTTCCTGCTCCTCCTCCTCCTCCTCCCAGCATCCTTTTCTTCAAGGTGTCCTCCCTGGTCGGGCGTCAGTCTCGACTTTCGATAGGAGGGGGTGGTAGGGGCTCCCCCATACCTCCCCAGCCCTACACCGTCCGCAATCATCGGCTCCGCCTCTCCTCCACCCGCGCCAGACGAGGGGGGGGGGCGGGTGATGAAGAGGAGGAGGACGAGGAGGGGGAGGATGAGGACGATGAGGAGGGGGATGAGGAGGTGCATGATGAGCGAAGGGGGGGACGAAGCGGACGAGGATGAGGATGAGGAGGATGGGGAGGATGGGGAGGATGAGGAGGAGGAGGAGGAGGAGGACGAGGAGGAGCAGGCCGAAATCCGCATTCGCGTCTGGACATTCTAGAACCCACCTCGATCCAGAGGCCCCCAAGCGCTGGTAGCCACCCTTCGATTCTAGAGTCACCCCCGTCCTTCCAAAGGGCCACCCCCCCTGCGCTGGGAGGTGGGAAACATTTCGGGGCGGACTGGTCGGGCCACAGAAGGCCCCCGCGCAGAAGAAGCCCAAGAATACGGACAAGCACGTCTTCGACACCATCAAGCCCCTCTTGTCCCTCACCAACATCAAGCGCATGAACTACGACGAGTGCCAGAAAAACGTCGATGCGTTCTACTCGGGGCTGCAGGCCACGTTTTGGTTGGTGCGCTTGGGAAGTTGCATGGGGGATGTGGGAGACCAGAGATGCGAGCTGAGACTAGACAGGATTGGAGGAAGCGGTAGCGGGGGGGGGGCTGGAGCGAGGATGCGATGGGGAGAACACGGATGAGCGAGGAGGTGAATGCGAAAGTAGTTGTAAGAATTGGGAAGGAGGCGGAATAAGGGGGGATGGGGGGTGAACATCAGGAGGATGCGGGAAACGAACAATTGTTTTGATTGGGCCAGGGGGGCGGGGGCGGCAGTCTACATGTTCGCCCCCTCCCTCCTCCTTCCCCATCCTTCCCCTCCCCTCCACTCTCCGACCTCCTCAAACTCCTTCCTGTCGCACTATCCTCATCCTCCTCATCCGTCCTGCTCCCTCCTCATCCTCCTCCTCCCCATCCTCCTCCGTGTCCCCCTCTCCACGCGGTCCTCTGAAACACCTCCCTCACCTTGACGCGTTCCCGCCCTAGATATTCATCGAGCACCTCCAGCGCGTGATCAAGGCGAAGCATGACACTGCCAAGATTGCCGACGTCCAGAAGGCCAAGAAGGCGCCCCAGACTTCGGCATGCGGGGGCGGGGGTGAGCTGTACACCTACATGGGGGATTCTGGAAGCCCCGAACCAAAACATGTTGACGTCTCTTGTTACGTCCGCCACCTTGCGCCGAGCTTCCGCAAGCTTCCGCCAACGGACCCCGCCGCCGTTTTACTACTGCCGCCTCCCGCCGGCCTTCAGGCGGGCGTCCGCCGAGGGCGGGGCGCGCCGAAGGCGAGGCCCTTTCGCAACGCCCCACGTAATACTACGCATGGCTACCAGTGCTCTCCTCGGCCCCAAATACACACTAAAACACATTCGGCGTTCGGGGGGGTCGATTTTACCCAACGGTCTAGCATCCTGACGGTGCGCTCTGAGACGGGGATCTCAATGCGTGCTTCGAGTTGATGCTCGTGTATTTGTACTTGTGTATCGGTACAGTAGTACGCGTGCGTACATTTAGACATGTGTGAGTATCAGCATGTACACACGCGTGTGCGCTACCAACCAGGTGCTCTCGACTGCTCGCAAGCTGCACACCGAGCTGGGAGACATCTCGACCGAGGCTTCCCCGTCGCTCGTGAAGTGCCAGAAGGTGATCTCGAGCTCGCGCGACGTGCTCGAGGAGGGCCAGAAGCTAGCGATGTTCCAGAACTGATGTTCGACATTTCGTTTAAGCCCAAAGGGGAAGTCCAGATGCATTAACATTCGGAGGTCTGCGTAGATCCTCAGATCGCCCACAATTGCGCCCCACGTGTTTCAGGTGGAACGCGTTGTGCCGATCCAAGGATCTGAGCGTACCTCCACAATTGATGACTATGGGTTCCCCCTTCTGGAGCTGCAGCCAGTTCTACAGCAACGTGCACTGCCGTTCTCGACTAATGACACCCCCCCTTAGCCGTCGACTCATGACACCCCCCTTAGCCGATCTGGCCTACTGGTTTGCATGTCACAACAGTGGTGGGGAGCTTTTCGCTGGCATGAACGGCAGTGCATGTGCGACGAGGCCTCGAGTTGTTTGCATCGGGCTGCAGCGCGACATTTCTGCGCGCCTGTGGGCTCCGAATGAAAACCTAACGATCATGATAGGCTGGACGAAGAGGTCCTGGGGTCCTGGGGTTACACGGAATGCAGGATGTCCCAAGAGATTGAAGGCGCTGGCGCCCGAGATTGAACATAATTACTGTAGCGCATCGCCTTGGCTCGAGTGCCATGGCTGCCCCAGCTCGCGGCCGACGCAGGCGCCGAGTAGAGCCAGGCGGTACCGATTCAGATCTAGCGCAATGCTCTGATTACGACGGTTTCAGCGAGGAGCTTTCGGGACCCCCAACTTGTTATCCAGACCCATTGCCCACCCCCACACCTCAAAACTGTCCTCGATCCCACTTCGAACACCGCCCACCTCCATCCAGACCCTCCGTGCCTATGGTCGTTCCCGCCCATTCCTCCAAACCAAGGGGGGTCTCGTTCAGGATGACCGGCCAGTTTCTACATCTTCGTCGTTAGCAACGATGGTATTACATGACTGGGCATTGGGTAAAATACAAGCAACTGATGTCCAACGCTACTGTTGCAGTGCATATCGTGATGGATTGCAGATTCCAAAGATACGTGTTCTAGCACAGTTGGGCGCCTGAGGGTCTTCCCCAGGCAACATCCACAGGGACCTGACAAATAAATATTGAAAAGACAACGATTTCCCACTGCCTGAAACTGTCAAAATAGGTTGCAGAGCCCCGCGTACCCTGGAAGTATTGTATGCTGACTGTGCTATTATATGTCCACACGACATGTTCGCGTCGCTCTTCCATAACCACCCAGATCAGTTCCATGAGCTGTTCGGCACCGAGCATCTCGATATGTTCTGGCGGGGCGCATCGAGGCTATTGGAGGAAAAACTTCCCACGGGGATTCGGGATTTGGGGGATCATGATGAGGATTTGGAGGAGCGGGGTGCCAAACGGAGGATAGAGAGTTCCGACAGGGGGGGCAGAGGAGCAGGAGGAGGACGCGGAAGTGGGTGAGAGAGATGTCGTAAACAAAGTCAACGTTTCGAATGGGGCCGTTTCAAATCGATACCTACCCTTGCCCTTGGGTATGTCGTTTCAATCAACAGATTGTTGACGATTTGTGCTCCCGAGGGCATTGCATCCTGGTTCCACTGGCCTCATTTGCATTGCTGGCTTTGTTTAAAGATTGTCTGGCGCCAGAAGGCGCGATCCTCGATTAAACGGGCACCCCGTATGGAGAGTACGAGATTTTAAGAAATGGTGCCTACCATTACGCATACATGGGGACGGGGCAGAATTTCAAACCAACGATTCAATGACAGCTGTAAGTTTTACGTCGCTGCTGGCTGTTGGGTCGACGCGAGCTCTGTCCTTTTATGTTTCGAGTTGGCCACTGTCTGCCACTGCCAAGCAACACGAGCACGGCGTTGACACTTGGAGGGGCATCTGGAGGGTCATTAAATGGTCACTGAAAGCATTAGCAGCAGGCACGCATCCTACACATGA